TACGATTCTACCTTGATTTTGTTTATTATTGTTGTATTTTTTTTATTGTTTAATCCATCTTGTTCTTTACACACATAATACTAACTTCTTCAAGCCAATCGGTGGTTCAGTGCTAGCGTCTCTGCTTGGTCGATGAAGATCGAGGTTCTAAACCTCGAAGCGGCGTTCACGAACCATCCAGAGGAACGTATGGATTTAAATAGAGACCTTCGGGAACGGATGATTCAATCAGTTCAGTCAAGACAGAGTCCAGTCAGTCAGTCGTGTAAATTTAAGTTACTGAGAAATCAATTGTTGAGTTTTACCCACACCGATTTTTAATTACCGATCAACGTAACAATATTATTTCGCACATTCTAAAAAGGGTTTACTTAGAAAAATTTTGATACTATCTACACGATATTCTTAAAAATTCATAACAATCAGTCAGTTTCAGAGATCACTTGTGTACTAGTACGTGTTAAGATAAGACTGATTTTGACGAATGAGATACCGTCTAAGAATAGAGACGTATCCTGTAAGAAATTTAACTAAATTATTATAAGAAAAGACACTAGAGACTCCAAAGCACTTTCAAATTCTTTCAAAACAGGAATACCTAGAACCTCAAGATTGTTTTAAATTATATCCTCCACTCAGTAATTTTTATTTAAATTAAAAAAATAAAAAAGTGTCATGTTATGAAATGAAATCTACACATATTAAAACAAAAAGGCAAACTGACTGATTGAACAGACTGACACTCTAAATGACCGACTGATTGACTGAATGACTGACTGACTGACCGACTGACTGACTGACCGTATGACTGTCTGACAGATTGACTGACTGAACAGACTGACTGATTGTCTGAATGACCGACTGATTGAGTGACTGATTGTCTGAACGACCGACTGATTGACTGACTGACCCTCTGAATGACCGACTGATTGACTGACTGACTGAAGAATCTGACTGAGGAATCTGACTTATTGACTGACTGAAGAATCTGACTGACTGACCAACTGACTGACTGAATAGACTGACTGACTGACTGAATAGACTGATTGACTGACTGAATAGACTGACTGACCGACTGATTGACTAACTGACTGACTGACCGACTGACTGATTAACTGACTCTCTGAATGACCGATTGATTGACTGACTGAAGAACCTGACTGACTGACTGACTGAAGAATCTGACTGACTGACTGACCAACTGACTGACTGACTGACCAACTGACTGACTGACTGACCAACTGACTGACTGACTGACTGACGGAATAGACTGACTAACTGACTGAATAGACTGACTGACTGACTGAATTGACTGACTGACTGAATAGACTGAATGACCGACTGATTGACTGACTGACACACGGATGACTAACTTTTCCAAATTCTAGTAGTTACAAAACGTCAAGAAGAAGTAAAATTAGCCATTTATGAAATCGATCTCATCATAAAGGCTTGTCCAGCTTACGATGGGGAGGTAAAAATTGGAGTAACTATACACTCCAACTACACATCGACACTCAGATGGATAGACCTGCATTTTTGTGTGTTTGCAATTATCAAAACTAAAACAGTCCTGTTGCACTAATCATCCTGGTAAACAATATAACATTTTTATTTTGAAAATTTTTGAAACACATTATTGTAAAATGTACTTAAATTTCAAAATATCTCAGCATTGATAAAATTCCACTAAGTGGTTCAGCCTAGAACTTTAAATAAGTCAGACAATATTTCGACAGATAACCAACAGAAAAAATTCGTCGAAATCTGTCTCGACAGAACTTCCCTCGCACCTAAAATACAGTGAAACATATCCAGGATTTTTGAGTTGAGTTTTTACTTTACAGAATTTTGTGATGGACGTCATCAACATTTTTGCAAGGACGCCTTGGATTGGTGCATTGTAATACTAAACATAACAATATTGTATTCCCAAAATTTTCTGGGAAAACGGAGTGAACCGTTCCTGATTTAATCAATAAAATAAATTGACACATTCACTAATTTCTTTGAGCCACCTGTATAAGCAAATCTAAAAATATGAATGCAACGATAAATCACAAGTAAAAACTCATGACATTTTGCACATTTCGGGTAGATTTATTAGGATTTTAACTCGTTACTATGGAAATTTGCAATTTAACACCTGTAAATTTCACAAGTTTTTGCAAGATTATTAGGGGCAAAATCAGTTTTATCTTAACAAGTATTAAGACCGCTCACCCGCCCCCTATTTTCTCAGAGGGTATGTCATTTGCCAAAATCAGTCTTATCTTACCAAGTACTAGCCCCACCCACCCACCCTCTGATTTCTTCGAGGATATGTCATTTGCCAAAATTAGTCTTGTCTTACCAAGTACTGGTACCACCAACCCGCCCCCTATTTTTAAATAAATAAATAAATTTATTTCTAACAGACAATATATCACCCAATTACAGGAAAAATTAACTTAACTCTGTGTCAGAGGATATGTCATTTGCCAAAACAAGACTTATGTTAGAAGTACTAACCTCGCCCACTCGCCCTTTATTTCCTCAGAGGATAGTACATGCTAGTACTTGCTAAGATAAGTCTTATTTTGCCAAATGACATATCCTCTGAGAAAATAGAGGCGGGTGGGCGAGGCTAGTACTCAGATAAGACTGATTTTGGTAGATACCATGCCCTCTGAGAAAATAGAGGGCGGGTGGGCGGGGCTAGTACTTGCTAAGATAAGACTGATTTTGGCAAATGCCATGCCCTATGAGAAAAAAGAAAGGTACATTGAAATTATTCTATTGAGTTTTAAATTTTTTCTAAAAATTCTTAATGTCTAGGGTGAAAATTCGACACGGATTCACACACTACAAGTACAACAGTATCTTATTTTATCAAATTAAAAAAACTTTTAATTATAAATTTGAAGATGACGTCATCAAATTGTTGATCATTTGGTCATTTGGAGGTATAAATGGTCAAATTTTGATTAACGATTTACCATGCTTCCAATAACTTAAAATATTTGCAAGATTTCACAAAATAAAATATTGGTGTTTTTTTTTCAAAAATCCAGTTTACCAAGGTAAAAATTCAACACGGATTCATAAATCCTATACATCCAAGAAAATGTTATTTTATAAAATTTAAAAAACAGAATCTTAGAATGACGTCGTTATTTTTTCGGGAAGCCATAAACAAATAAATTTTGATTTGACGTTTGCAAGATTTCAGAGCATTCGGTTCTGCAGTTTGGAAGTAAAATTGTAAAATGCTATACAATTTTGAATTTTTTCCCTAAAATCTTAATGTCATTAAAAACTCGACACGGATTTGTAAACCACAAGTGGAGGGGAATGTCAATTTTGGGGCTGACGTCATCCTATGATGGGGACGATTAGCCAAATCTGGGTTAGCGTTTTACCACCTACACGATATAGACATTAAACGTCGAGAAAACATAAAAGTAACAAGTTGTCCGATGGTTGACGCTCCAAAAGCGTGTTAGTCGAAAGAATCGTTTGTACCAATTTTTCGTCCCAACAGCAGAAAAACAAGATTAACTAAAACTAAGAATTTCTTGGTTTTTAGTTAAAGCAAAAGCAAACTCGTCTGTGTTAATCTAAAATGAAACATCCACAAAAATACAACTGGTGATGTTGTCAATGTCAGTTTTAGCGATTTATTCTAATAAGTGTGAAATAATTTAAGCTTATGTTTCATTTTACAGTTCCTTTCCATTTTTAAACTTTACATAGGCAATTCGTAACAAGAAATTCTCAAACTTTCTAGTACCAATCCCAGATTAATTAAACTATATAATCAGTGTTTCCATTTTAAGCTGAATTCAACAGGTAATGGATTTTTGAGTTTGGAATTAATTACACTTTTTATATCAGATTTAGGTATCCAGTTATGAGTTAATTAAACCGAAAAATAAAATATATTTTGTTTGTTTTTCCTTCACATGTATATTGTTACCAAGATGTTAAAAAATACAGAATTATAATAAAACAGTGAAATAAACTAGGAACTAGCTAAGGGTGTGTGCGTAAACTCTGGCAACTTTTTTGACAGGACGTGTTTCGTGTCTCCAATGTTGGCAATTCTCATCTATCTTGCATATGTCAGTACCACACTGGGAATATAGAAGTTACTAGTGTCAGTCTCACTTTATGTTACACCTTAATTAAGTTTTCGTCTCTTGTTACTGCATATATTTTAAAAAGTATGGATTATCATGTTCTGATAATATATAATAACGTATGAGTAAAAATTAAAATGTCACAAAAACACACCAACCTGTGTATATTTGTTCATTGAAAATATATAACTTTCTCTCCAGTTTGTAATAACCAAGTGAAGTTCAGTCGGGAAAATATTGAAAGTGGTTGATAGATCATCATCAATCAATCTCATTTAACATTGTTTACATAAAAATAGGTTTCCGTCTGAACGATCTGTACTATTAACAAAGCAATTTATAAAATGCTTTGGCCAATAATTCCACTATGCACACGAGCAATAAAATTTAATCCATCTGACGCTATCCACTCCCAACTTCTATTACTCATGGAATGAAATAAATATGAACACTCCAACTCTGGCACCGAACAACTTTTAATGTATTCAGAACCTTCGCTCTGTCGCTTTTTCAACAAATGACGAAAACTATTACTTCGAGAAGTGCGTGCTGCTAAATTAATCATTAGTTTTGTCACTTCTAATTAGCGGATGTAGCTTGCATTTTATATTCATGACCTCCACTCTTAAAAGCTACTACAGCGAACTTGTAGCGTTGCTACAAAGCTACCACACGTATAGTATCCATTAATAAATGAAACCTAATTATCGCACGTGCTATCTGAGATAAAACGAAGTGGGCTTAATTAAGCGAAAAAAAAGACTTTCAAAATTTTTTAATCAATTAAAATTTGTTTGCCCTGATGGAGTGTCCGTCCGTCTTTTCGCTTTGAGCTTTTTTCCTGTGTACGTTCCTTCGTAACTTAATCGCATTTTCCAGGTGAAGAGAGGTTGTTAGACAACTATGCACAAGACCCTAAGCTCAGTTTTGTCATTAAGGCTATCTATACTTTCGCTCACGCCTTACACGACATGCAGCAAGACAAGTGTGGAAACGGAACAACAGGATTGTGCGAAAAGCTTCTGCCTTTCAACGGATCTATGTTTAAGGTGGGTTCTTTACAGACGTTTAAAGATTTGCGAAGTGAATGTTGCTCAGTGAAGTAATCATGGAATTTCATAATAACTACACAGGTAAGCTGAGTGTTGTTACAACCGTAGTTTGTCGGACAAATGGTGTTCTATATTTGTGCAAAATTTCATTTGTGTGGGATTAACTGTTTGGGTATGATAGTGATCAAAATTGGTTTATATTAAAGTTTACACTACCGGACGCAAAAGAGACAGATTAACCAATTATTTTTTGTTCGCTTGGGAAAACACACCAACAAAATTTGTAATAATGGGAAGTACTGCATAATTCTGTGTGTTACATGTTTCAGATATCTGCTTTGACGTTCGAATTTAGAAGCGTTCATGAAACCAAAGCATTCCTGTTACATTTAATCAACAATGAAATGACTATTATTCGTAAACATCCAACTTTACCCTTCTATACCCTGGTTATTATTCTGTAAACATTAACAAGGACACCCTCACACACTACCGTTTGAAAATCATCAAAAGAAAATGACAATTCTAAATGTAATTCGACCTTAGTAGTTGCTTTACCTTGAGCTTTTCACCAATCTAAAATTTAGAAGTGTTTATTCGGGTAAAGGCACCATGTTTTAAGCCATTTCTGGCTTATGTTTTTTTTGCCGGCATGAACTCCAAGTTTTCTCCTAATGTACGGTGGTTTTCTGGTTTCGTGTTTACACAGTCTACAGTTTTGTTCTCACTGAACTTTTAACTAAAAAACTTAAACTGTTTTCAGCAAGACTAGCTTTTATGCTCGAGCTAATTAGCGTCTAAGGCTCCTCTGTAATATCATACTCGTAGTTAGCCACACTTTATGCGCTTTTTTTGCTTTGAAATATACCATACGATTTTTTTATCAACCATAGAGCACCATATTGTAATACAAAATAATGAATGTAAATAACGATGGTGATGATGATAATAATAATAGTATTTATTTCCAGTACACAGGAAATTATAAAATAAGATATAAAAAGGGATACATATTACAAATATATGGCAACTTCAAGTATAAATAAAGACAAATCATCGGCAAGACTTAATGTTGATGATTAAATTGTTGAAGGACAGAAATAAAATTCGGAAAATGGTTTTATACTATAATCGTATAATCAGCCCACTTTAAAGCCCTATTTTAATAGTTGCCTAATTTTATAATAAAAATAATAACAATCTTAATTTCTGTCGTGCAAAAATAAATGTATTAACACGTCACATAGTTACATGATTTGAGATTCGAAATGGTTTTCAAATTTTCCAAAATTTGTTATAAATATGGGATGATTTTCGGAAAGACGCTGTTCATAAAATAATGGGCCGTTGGATTTTTGTTTATGTGGGCATTTAAAAACATTGGTTTACAATACTCCAGTAAAAGAAACAAACTTGACATTTTTGAAAAAGTTCGACAATTAATGTGGAAAAGATGACATCTTAGCTGAGAGCATTCATTTTCGGCAGTTTTTGTAGATTATGATTCATCTTTACATATAATATGAATTTTAATTCACCACTTAGTGTTGGATACATGGAGTTGATCGTAATTTTATTGTTGTGCGCCATTTTTTTGCTCACTTGTATATACAGGGTGAGTCACTAAGCGCGCTGCGTAATTATTTGAACATTAAAAAGTTAAAGAAGTTTTAGGGTTCTTTGAGGATAATACATTAAAATTATTCTCCTATGCAGAGTATCCCGTTTTGAAAGGTAACAGTCAATTTTTTTGGGCTTTTTACTCTGGGAAAATTGTAGGAATTTTCGAAGAAATAAAGCCGAACATAACTTTCGGAGGTCAAATTAACCTTTTCTTAGCTTTTATAACCAAACCTTTTGAAATTTTGGTGCGACATTCCCACGTTATTCCAATTTTCTTGAATTTTTGCATCAGTGCAAGGATTCGCAAAAAAATCACAATAGGCCGACTCTCTACTTTTGCATTTTCTCGACCTATCATGACCCCTAGAGGACGAAGAAATAGGTCTCCCCTTTCCGTCTGTCTCTCCGTCTGTCCGTCTGTCCGTCTGTTTGTTCGTCTGTCTGCCGTCCCGGATTTTTATTAGACAGATAATCTTCGAAAGCACCGGGCCGATTGTTGTCAAATTTTGTATTTATATTAGGTATATCATGTCGATGGTAAAACCATAGATTAATATAGATGCGATATAGAGGCTGATTTTGCAAAACCACCCTTATTGACATTGGAGTCCTCAACCGCCAAAGGCAAGCGCCAAATTTAAATAGTCGATGCCAATAAAACCCTTGTTTCACTATAATGGTAATTCGTGTGACCTGAATGAAAGTGAAGGAAACAGTAAGTAGCTTGTAACATTCTGGTAAATCTAGTGTCAATTTGTGGAAAATAAAACGCGTCGTTAAAAATATTATGACATTTTTTCTAGTTACTTTTATTCCTAGTTAGAAAGAAACACTGCTACCAACATAAATGAGGAGTCCGCAACCGTCATTTAATTTAAACTATGACGCTTCTCTATGTTCTCTGATAAAACGCTAACCAAAATTTGTCTAATCATCCCCACCACTAATGTGATGACGTCAGTTCAAAATTGTACATAGTTAATGGGCTTTAAATTGTATAAAATAACATCGTCCTACACATGTAGTTTACGACTCCGAATTGCGATTTTACCCGAAACGTCCAGATTTTTGGAAAAAAAATCAAAATTAGGAAACAACATTTTGACATTTAATTTGGAATCTGCAAAACCGAATGCTTTGAAATCTTGCAGATGGTTTACAGTTATGATAAGCATGATAAGTTTTTATTCAAAATATATTTACTTGTCCCCTCCAAAAAATTTATGACGTCACCTCAAAAGTTTGCCGAATAAATCCTATCTAAAATGTAAAAAACATGATGAGTCTGTATTTATCATTCCATTCATATTTTTTGGATTTGCATATACAGGATAACACAAAAAAATTAATGAATGCGTGAATATATTTTATTTATTTAATCAGGAACTACAAAACCGAATGCTTTGAAATCTTGGAGATGTTTTACAGTGATCATAGGCATGGTAAATTTTTAGTCAAAATATATTTCCTCATCCCCCCCTAAAAAATTGATGACGTCGCCTCAAAATTTTTCTAAATAAATCCTATCTTAAATGTGCAAAGTATGATGTAACAATATTTGTGATTTATCATTCCGTTCATATTTTTTGGGTTTGCATTACAGGGTGACTGAAAAAAAATTAATGAATGCATAAATTTATTTTATTGATTTAATCAGGATCTACAAAACCAAATGCTTTGAAATCTTGGAAATATTTTAAAGTTATCATAGGCATAGTAAATTTTTGATCAAAATATATTTGCTCATTCTCCCCTAAAAAATTTATTACGCCACTCCAAAATTTTTCCGAAAAAAATCTATCTTAAATGTGCATTGTGCAAAGTATGATGAGTCTATAATTGTGATTTATCACTGCATACATATTTTTTAGATTTGCTTATAGGGGGTGTGTGAAAAAAGTAATGACTGATTCAATTTATTTTATTGATTAAATCAAGAATTACAAAACTGAATAGTTTGAAATCTTAACGTTTTGAAGTTATTGTAAGCATGGTAACTTTTTAATCAAAAAGTATCTGTTTATCAACCCCAAAAAATTGATTTCGGCATCTCAAAATTTTGCCGGATAAATTCTTTCGCAAATGTGCAAAATATGGACAGACTTTTAATCACTGAATTCATATTTTTTAGATTTGCGTAAACAGGTGACTCAAAAATTTTTTTGAATCAGTCAATTTATCAAATTAAGAACGAGCCAACCCATTTTCTGGAAAATGTGAGAATACGCTCGTCTTTATAACAATAAAATAATCATAAGGTAAGAATTATAATAATAACATTCAGAATATTTTGTTCAGTGGAGGCTTATGAATAATTTTAGTCATCTGTTTTGGGGCGATAAACGCATTCATATCAAACAAATGTCTACGTGACATTCTTCCGATTTAATGTATTCCCGTTGATAATGTGCTGTAAATAATTTTTTTGCACTCATAAACTTTTTTGATGTGCTTATATCTCTATAAAATAATATCACAAAACAGATCTTAAAAATAAGATTAACTCTGAATTGATCTGAAGTTATTTAAACAGAACTTCCTGGCTGCTACTTATATAAAATAATTTTGCGAAATATATATATTTTATCATAATCCCTATTAGTTAAAATAAAGATATGTGTGGACTGTAAAAGTACAGATAAAGAAGCATGCTGTGCGTATGTTTCAAATGAATTTTCCATAACAAAATATTGTTATGATGTCATTAACATTGCAGCAAGGACACTGTCTACTCAAATTTTTGGGAAAAGGTAGTGAGCCGATGTGATTAATAAAATATATTGTCTCAGTCATTTTTTTTTTTTGAGTCACCCTAACTGTAATAGTTTAATAATGTTTAAAGCCCGACAAAGGAGGGCTTTTAATTTCCCGAGAGCCACAATCGACAATTATACCCGTGGTACATACAACGTCTATTTTGGTTTCTAAAATATTTTTAACGAAATATTGAGTATTTCCGACAATTATTATTTTGATGTTATGTTGTTTATTTGTTAAATAATTCGATTTTCAAAATGCAAACTGAAGAAGCGGAAAACGTTTATTCAAAAGAAATTTTAGAAGAATTTGAAGTAGGCCAGGGAATGTTTTGATGAAATACTATTTTCTCAACTTTAATAAAATTGTTGAATATCGAAGACTGTTTGAATAATTAATTACTGTAAATGAATAATCGATCGTTACTTAGCATTTTTGACTGATTTGTGCTATAAAGGCCAATTTATGCCCGCATTTGGGTGCTTATAAACAAGATTATGATTCTAGAATAGAATAAAAACTACGAATGCATTGATAATAATATTTTTCATATTTTATTTATTGAGCAAAATTTTAACATGACGTCAGGAGGGGTAAACTGAGAAATTTTTATTAAT